TCTTTGATCCACTTCGAAATTTGGTTTTAGTCCCGGTATTTTTCGCGCCCGGGACTAGAGAAACATTTAGTACCGGTTGGTAGCTCCAACCGAGACTAAAGGTCCTGCCCAACGGCTACTGTGGCAGGTTTTTGTTGCAGGGGACCTTTAATCCCGGTTGGAGCTACCAACCGAAACTAAAGGTTAACTTTTACTCCCGGCTGGTCCCTCCAACCGGGAATAAAAATCTACTCCCGGCTGGAGGCTCCGTTCGAGACTAGAAAGGACCTTTAGTCCCGTTCTTTGTCTCCAACCGGGACTAAAGGTCACCAACCGTCCGACACAGGCGTCACGTGTCTGGAGCTGAGTCGATCGAGACACTAGGAGTAGCTAGCTGTTCACCGTTTTAAGCTAGCTGTTCACGAGGCACTAGCTAGATGTTCACCGGGCTTAAATCAGCAAAACGTAGGAGTAGCTAGCTGTTCACCGTTTTTAGCTAGTTGTTCACCGGGCTTAAATCAAACGGGCTTAAATCAGCTAGCTGTTCACCGTCGATGCGTGTAAGCCAACAAAAGAGTCTGTCTCTGCTAGCTAGCTGCTACACTAGTACGTAGGAGTAAGCCACCGTCGAGACACATGCATGCGTATCAATTAGTCCCGGTGGTATTACGAGCCGGACTAAAGGTATACTTTTAGTCTCGGTGGTATTACTAGCCGGACTAAATGTCTTTAGTCCTGTCTTTTAATCCCGGCTTTATAGGAGCCTCGATGGGCGGCCCAAGATCGCAATATGCTGGAATTGCTGGCCGGTCCACATATTAGCACCACCTCGCTTGCTCGGAAGAGTGAAAGCTAACTTAAAAGCTCAGCTCGAACCATGCGTACGAACTTGAACAGGATCTGCTCTATAGGATTGTACCGCTGATCCTTGACTAAAGGTCCTTCGTACTATAGTTTATACAAAATGTTGAACATTATAAACGCACGTATATTCTAGCAGTGTAGAACGCGTATTCAAAAACCAAAACGAATCATCAATTAAAAAAAAGAAAAAAAAAGAAAATAGAAATAGAAACAAAAAAAAAGAAAACCTTCAGTTCGGTAGTAGCGTGAAAATAGAAAAAAAGGAAAATAGAAATAAAAACAAAAAAAGAAAAAAAAACCTTTAGTCCCGGTTGGTATTATCAACCGGGACTAAAGGACCGGTCTACGTGGTCAGGCCGGAAGGCCTCTTTAGCCCCGATTGGTATTACCAACCGGGACTAAAGGTGGACCTTTAGTCCCGGGCGCGAAACCGGGACTAAAGGAGGGACCCTTTAGTCCCGGATTCGTGCTCCCGGTTCCAAAACCGGGACTAAAAGGGGTTACGAACCGGGAGTAGAGCTACTTTAGCTAGTAGTGTTGGAAATGCTTCCTAATGCTTGCTGGCGCTTCCTGATGCCTATCCAAAATAGCTATTTTTGTTCATTTTATTCGTCCAGGGTATTATGGTCATTTCACACATCTCACTTCCGAGCCCGCCCGCCCCCAGACTCCAATCCCGCACGGCCTCGCCGTACTTACCCACCCCACCCCACCCCCGTCGTTGGTGGCCCTGCCCCGCCGCAGCACCCGCCCCCAGTGCCACGCCGAACTCGCTCTCGCCCTCGCCAAAGCCGCCGCCGCCGCCCTGCTCTCTCCCTCCCTCTAGCCGCCGCCGCCCTCGCATAGCGTCGTGCCGGAGGCCCTGCTTCATCGCTGCCTCGCCCTCGCCATCGCGCGGCCTGCCTTGGCCCTCGCGCGGCACCGCCGCCGCAGGCCTGCCCTCGCCCGTGCTCGTTGCTGGGATCCCATCGCTCCTCCCTCCTCCCCGGCACCCCCGGCTGACGCGAGTAGCCCAGTAGAGAGCTCGCCCAATGCGAATATCCTCTCCTCGCTGCACATCGGCCTTGTCCTCGTCCTCCTGCACGCCTCGCTGCTCATTGGCCTCGTCCTCGTCCTCCTGCACGCCGCACTGCACAAGGCTGAGGACAACGCCGGCGCCGAGGTCGACCGCTGGTCACGCCGGTGTCACAGAAGCCGTCGCACTAGGTGTGAGATCCTACCTCTCCCTGATTGTCACGGTTACGGTAGTGCTTCCTGATGTCTGATTTGTTAATGTGTTCCTGTCAGTTGTCAGGTGTGATGTTAACTTGGTAGAAAGATGAATAAAGTTGTCTTTGGCTTAGCTAGATCTTGAACAATAGCATCTTTGAACAATAGCATCGTTAGAGAGTAATAGGCTATCAGTATGGTAGCTTCTAAAAGTATCTCTTACATTACTCAAGTTGTTGGCAGAAGGCGGCAGTGCCATGCCTTGTGCAGCTCTTAACTGAATAAAAAGAAAAAGATGATATATGTGTTACCGTTTCTAAGTCTAATACTTGTAATGGTGTCATATTTCTTAGTTGCTGGTTATCATCTTCGATGTCTTGATGTTTGTCGCTGAAGTTCCCATTTAATTTTTAAAGAACACATACCAATGATTGGCAGGAAGCATTGCAGTAATGCATATATACAGTCTTATTGCAGAGCAAAAGCATGTTCCTATATGCCAGTCTGGAGATAACTAGTTAAATAACATGCATCTTCGTGATCATGGAAAGAGCTGGACATAACCATTCAACCTGATAACTAAGCTTATAATATAATCTTTGTTGGAATTACAGTAATTTTTTTATCCTTCTTACTATTTGTACTGGTTTATAGTCAGCACTAGTACTGTGACTTGAGTCTTGGACCTTGATTATTTAAGCTGCATTGAGTTTTCTTGTGTAGGCTTGGTTGGGAAGTTTTGCCTTGCTACTGTGATGACGCTCTCTGTGATGGAGTTGTTAACTGGGGTCGGTCATTTCTTTTTCTGTACTGATGATTGCTTGTAGGCAAAGGACATGTTCAGTGTCGAAATAAATTGCAATAAAAAAGAGTAAAAAAAACTTTCAACATTTATGCATGAGATATCTTGTAGGATGATGCAACTATTTCGGCGTGGCATGCTTATGTATATATATTTTTTTTTGAATTGAAGATGGCCTTATTCCTTCTACCAGATTTATGTTTACTCCCATCTCTCAGACCTCTAACCAGAGGATGTCCACCTTTTCTACTGTGCTTGAAGCAAAGGTTTCCTGCTAATATGCTTGAAGCAAAGGTTTCCTGGGTTGACACAGACAAGCCTGGACATGAGCAAAATTCAGTACAACAAGGTTTCTATTTCTATCTGTTTCTCCGAATATTCTAGCCATTACCAAATTATAGGTCAATAACTGATGCCGCTCCTGCTGGTGAGCATTTTTCAGGATGTGGGCAAATTAATCCTGGAGAGCTATTCGAGGGTGTTAGAAAGTTTGGCTTCAAACATTGTCACCCGCATTGACGATCTGTTGAACATCGAGGAGCTGAACAGACACGCTGAACATTTCACAGCAACAGGTGATGCAGACTGCAAGATTGCTTGCAGCAAGACTGTTGTTCCATCCTTCCCAGTGCCAGCCTCTGGCACAACATTCATGACGGCTTATGCCACACCTAGCTTCTCGCCGGTGCAATTGGCAAGCCCATCAAAGAAAGAAAGGACGCCGTTGAATCCCTCTCAGCATAGTAGGGGTGCCGGCACACAGAAAGGCTTGACGGATCATGTCGTCACAGAAATCAAGGGGATGATGATAATCAGCAGCGGTATGATGATCGATGTCTCTACTACTATAGAGCTGTAACTGTAAGCTGATAGCTCACCAGAGCCTGTTCCCTTGCTCGTAAACGATCGTAAATTTTCAGCCGGGAACAGTGTTTTTCTCTCACACCAAACCAGCCAGCAGTAAATAATCCACGATACGATACGGCCTTCCGAACAGGCCGCAGATCGCCAAGATGACTAGTCTTTGTGTATATGTGTTTGTGTCTGTGTGAGCGTCCAAATTTTAGTGGCATGTTGCATTTCTGATTTTTGTGCCTACGATTTTACTGGCATACTGCACTGCTGTTTGCTGACAGCCTGATGCCTTGATACCTGATCTACAGTACTAGACGGGTGTTGTTAGTTGTTACAAACTCTGAACGAGGAGTTTCAGTCTGATCTGAATTTGTTGAATTTCAACGGTTGAAATTAACAAAGATTGGGGACATTTGATGTGAAAACCAACTCTTTGTCCAGTTCTCAGAATTAGTACCTTATACAATGGTTCTTTGGCCCGAAACATAGCCACTTTTTGTTGCAACCCATTCCAAACTGATGGCTGGGCTTCGTTTCAAGCAATTTGAGTCTGGGAGTCAAATTTCATTAGCTTCAATAATAAAAAGGGCCTGGTCTCACTGGTGGAACCCCAGCTAAATCTGTTGCTGCTACAAATTTTCACAGCTCTGAAGTTCAGTTTTCTGAGGACATTACAGAGAGAAGACCGTTTGACTGGGTTCTCGCGTTTTCAAGAACTCCGGCCTGCTCTCCAATGTTAAATTCAACCCGCCGACATGCCCGTGAACCGACAAAAGTAGTCAAACCTTCGATGATTGACCATTTATGTGCAACTGTTCAGAGACTCCAAAGAGAGTTGTATAGTCGTTAAGCCCTTAAACGGAGAGCTCGGCGCATGCAAGACAAAGCCGACGCAAATAATAAATCACATTACTAATTACATTAAATCATCATAATAATTAGACATTCCAACAGAATGGGTCCTCCAAACATAAACTTTGTACAACATGTAACATACATGTACCAGCCATACAGAATGTCTCAGTGTCTCACATCCATACAGAATGACACAATCGTCCATAAAACATACAGAATGCCACCAATTAGTAGTAGGCAGCTTCTGCTATAAAAATAGATCAAATCACCCATGCAGAAAATTTCAGCTATAGATCATCCACAGATGGGTTGCAACGAGCTCAACTGTACAGTGGGTGCATCTTCTAACCTACAAATAACTAAATAAGAAAACTGCACGTAAGCCATCATTGGTGTTTAATTAGTGTCAGCAACAGATCAGCTTGTGAAATCCATATTAGAGCTCTGGATCAGGGACCCCTCCAGCCTGCATCGAAGCAGATAGTCAAATCCATATTAGAGTATTCAGCAGTAGGCAGAAGCGTAAACCAACAATTTGTAGGCAAAATTCAGTTACCATTGCGCACAGCAGTGCAAGGTCATATATGGTGATGTACTTGGCTCCCAAGATGTTGAAGATCAGCCGGCTCACCTTGTTATTGCTAGAACCTAGAGAGGAAAAACAAGCACAAGTTGTCGTTGACCGCCGTTCACCAGATCGAGGTCGAGCGGCCTCTTCCACGTCGCCCTTGGCCGGATCGAGGCCGAGAAGCCCCCTCCGCGCTGATCGAGGCCAGGCAGCCCACCTCCGCGCCGCTCTTGGCCGGATCCAGGTCGGGAGGGCCCCTCTGCGACGCCATTGACCGGATCGAGGTCGGGCAACCACCTCCGTGACGCCCTTCGCCGGATCGAGGCCGGGCGGCCTCCCCCATGCGCTGTCCGCCACCGTGAGCAGGTGCTCTCTCTCAGAATAAGTGAGGTGAGGCCATGAGGGTGAGGGTGAGGCCATGAGGGTGAGGTGTGTAGTCGCTTGAGGAGAAGTAGCAGCTGGAGGAGAGGAGAGTGAGATGGTGAGAACCGCCTGAAAGGCCACTAGGGTTTCATCTGGATTTTATATGAGCACCACTTGAATCCTGGCCATCTATCCGAGATCAATGGCTGAGATCGTCTAAGTGGGCCACTAGGGTTTCTAATTGGGCCGAGTTTTTGGGTTTTAGAGGAGAACCAGCTGGGCCGGCTTGGCTGTAAAGTGCTGCTGGGCTCTTTTTCTTTTATTTAAGAGCCCACGAAGCCTTAATTATTTCTAGAATTTAGTTTTCTTTTGTTATTTAATTACTTCATTATTTAAATGTTTTAACTAAGTTTTGAGTTGTTTTACATGCAATTTTTTTTACATTTAATAGCACATTATTTAATTGTTTTAATAAATTGTAACTTTACATTGTTCTCAAACAAATACATCTTTTCACATAGCTGTATGGTATTTTCACAAAACTAATTGTAACAATATCTAAATCTAGTTAGCAAATTCTACAAATCGACATAGCACCGTATTTAATAACCATAATATTACCATAAAATTTTAAAACTAGTTTAATAAAGTGGGAATCTAAATTGTTGACAAATAGATACATATATCAAATAGTTTTATATAACTATATGTGAGATGTATACATTTATGATTTAGTCAGAACATCCTAAAAACTGGCATGGTGGGATAATATAGGTTTGTAAGATTCCCATAAAAAATTCAAATCATTTTGACATACTAGGACTATACATTGTTCATAAATTGATACATTTCACACGTAGCTTCATATAATTATGTGAGAGATGTGTTCATTTATGAACAATGCACAATATTGCTTTGCTAAAATGATTTGAAGTTTTTATAAAATGATTATACCCTAAAAACATGTTTTCATGCAAGTTTTTAGATTTTTCTAACTAAATTTAAATATTATTTTAATTATTTTATGTAATTTAACAAAATAATAGTAACAATAACTAAATTTGGTTAGAAAATTCTACAAATTAACACAACAACATATTTTGTGTTCATAAGCCTTCTATATAATTTTTAAGTACTTTTAATAAAGTGGGAGTATACATAGCTCACAACTAGATACATCTCTCACACAGTTTCATATAAACTATGTGGGAGACGTACCATTTGTGAACAATGTGTTGTACCACTTTGCTAACATCATTTTAAATTTTTATGGGATGATCATACACCAAAATCATGCTGGCATGCAAATTTGTAGAATTTCCTAACTAAATTACGACATTTATTCTATGGTAATTCCATAGAACTATTGCAATAATAATATAATTTGGTCAACTACAAAGTTGTAGGACTCATCATGATCTACAATTTTTTTTATCATTTATCCGTTGGAGTTCATTTTTACAGTTCAAAAAAATAAATTTTTAAAATTTGAACAGCTTCACTCACTTCTGTTTTAAAAATAGTCTTTTGAGGCAACTAACAAAACACTCCTTATAGCTCAATGGTTAGTCTTTGGTACTACGAGTAGAGAGGTCAGGGTTCGATTCCTATGTGTGGCGTACAGATTTTTTTTCCCCATTTTTGTCTAGTGGATGTACCTACTAGCCATGGACACCCTGCCAAGAACTAGATGATGGAGTTGGTGGTTAGGCTATTGCTGACTGCTACCAGTAGCTATTCGGGCAGGTTCGAACCCTGCGTGGCACATTCCCCCCCTCCCCTATTCTTTTTTTGTAGTGCTATGATTGGTTTGCAAATATTTTGCTGAAAATAATAAATGTTCTAGAATATTTATTTGTTTTGGTCATTTCTCGTGATTGGAACTTGTTTATAGCGTGGTGACTAATAGGTCACTCGGACAAGACATGAGAGTGGTCGATTAATTTGTTATCGCATGGTACTTCACTCGAACAAGATGTGTGAGTGGCTAATTGACTTGTTATAGCGTGGTGGCTAGTAGGTCACTCGGACAAAATGGGAGAGTGGTTGGTTGACTAGTTATCAAGTGGCGGCTATTAGTTCACTTGGACAAGATATGAGAGTGGTTGGTTGCATGGTGGCCAGTGGTTCACTGGAACATGATGTGAGCGTGGGCGACTGGTTTGTTATCTCGTCGCGGCTATTAAAAATAAAAAAGGTTTTCAAATTATTCATCACGTTGTTGTTTTGTGCACCTAGATTCGGAAAATTGCGCCAATTAGAGTTAACACAGACAAGTAATGCTTAATAAGTCAAATAGAAAAAAAAACAAAAATTGAAAAAATGGCCATAGTGGTAGGGATCGAACCTACGCCCTCTGCAATTAAAGCTACAAGATCTACCACTAAGCTATGATTGGAAGCTCAATCAAGTGAAGTTATATTTATCTGTAAAAATTAATGCATAAAAAGTGCATGGACCAAATAAATGTCTAATTTTTTGAACAGCCCACTAGTCTCCGAAGGATGTAACCCAACCCACGATTGGATGCAACCCAACCCACGATTGCGTTAGCTCATATTCTGCCGGGTTTACAGGGATACCTCACATTCTGTGTGATTCTCGTCAGAAAGTCAGAATAATGACGGATAGAGAAGGTGGATTCCCGCGCTTACCTCACATTTTTAAACACATTTATGTACAAAACAATGATTCACAGTAGATTTTGTCTAGTTGCCAAACTTTGCCGACAATACAGCAAGTCAGCAACAATTAGACACCAGGATTCACCCTTGATTACATAAAAACAATTAGACACTAGGATTCGAACAAACTTCAAGATTGCAGTTAAATGATGTCAATGTGGCTCTGAGTTGCAGCAGTGTCCAAAGCTGTGGCATTTACAAAATTTGTTGTCATAGCTAGCACGGGAAAGGCCTGCAATAATAGCTCTTTCAAGACATCTGTAAAACCAAAATTGAACTAATATGAGTCTGTTTTTCTGAAAGAACAAAGAAGAGAATATTATACATGCTTTGCAAAGAAATATCACATTCATGGACATGAAGTGTACAATGCACACAAAGCTGGTCAGGGAATGCAAAAAAAAAAAAAAAAATAGGAGCAATTCAATCAGGGCAGTTTGCATCAGCCTGGACTAAGCTTTTGACTTACAGGAAGTAACCTGAGCACAAATGCTTGTCTTTTCAGCATGCGACACAAGAAGGCAGCCAAAAATAGAACCATAAAACAAACAAGGTATGAGTAAGCAACAAATTATCAACAATGGAGCTTCATTCATGTAAAAATAACACTACAGGAACATACTGCCTACTAATTATGTGTTTGTCTTCTCAAAATTCACTGATAGGAAGTCATTTGCTGGACACCACTATTTATAAAGTCCTAGAGAAACAAGGTCACATGGACAAACTATTTTTCGGTAAATCTAGAGATTACCTGATCCTCCAGATCAGATTCTTCAGTAATGCCAATGCCTCCATTTGTATTGCCCTTGCCATTATGAAGGAACAACCTTCAACAGAACTTTTCTTGACGAGTCCGTTTCTATGGTTAAATTCTTCTTCAGTAGCTTGGTCTCTTCAATTTATTGAACTCTTCTTGATGAGTCGTTTGTATGGTTAAATTCTTCTTCTTAATACAATGATGCACAAATCTTGTGCATATTCGAGATAAAATGATGAATGTGACCTCAAATCATAATATGCCAAGGAAATATTTCTGATAAACAGCAGTGATCAGGAGAAAACTGTTGGATGATTGACAACAAAAATTTCACAGTTTCTGGATCAGTAAGAAAAGGTCATCATCCTTAGCTTCCCTAACCATTCAATGTACAATACAGTAAGCATGTAGGTGTACTACATGTAGATGCACCCACCTTATCTCCAACTCCAGTTAAAATTGAACCACTCTTCATAGGGCACAAGGTAGCCCTGAAATTAAAAGTAAGAAACTGAAAGAAAATAAATATGAATATTGAGCCACTTCTCAAATGATGTACAATAGGTAAAAAGTATAGTATGATTTGTCATAGTAGAGAATATTTATGATGTTTGATGACCCAATGAATGGGAACCCCTGTCATTGTACACCATATATATGAGGTATAACATGAGTGCTTACCGTATTGGGTGCCCAATCCATTGAAAAGCTTCAGCAGGTCCTCTAGAGAAAGATGATGCATGCTCATCCATGGCAAGCATCTCAAAGTAACTTTTTACTGAAATATTAGAGCTTGAACCTTTTGCTGGTGGATTCCTTTTGTAATACAGATCCCTCATGAGATGAGCTGTTTCAATTATCCTATTCCTATAAAACTAAGGAGAAAAACATATTGCAAATGTTAATCAACACAGATGCATAGCCTCAGAGTTTTGAGAACACTCATCCAACAACCGAAACAGGAGAAATGCATGAAACAGAAAAGGTCAAACAGAAAACATGGTCTAATACTCTATTGCAAGAATTTATGGTACAAAAATTGATACCAAGAACCAGCAATAAAATTGACTTAAAAGCGTTGTAGACTATGCACATACATCCTTATTAATACATAACAAAAATTGACTTAAAAGAGTTGTAGACTTTGCACATACATCCTTATTAATACATAGCACAAGTTAGCCTCATCAAGGTATCATGGTTCAGATCAGGATCAGAAATAAATGGTGAGACCAAAATGCATCTCGGAGAGCTACAAGCCCATGGCTACGCCTACTCCATCTGTGATCCAGTGACTCAAAATCATGCACTTGCAGGTGCATGATCTACTTTGTAGCACAAGGGACCCAATCTAATGGTTCAGGTGTTCTCTTGCAGCAAATAGGGTGCATCATAATAGCACATAAAACACAGATAGAAAATAGTCCAGCATGGTGAGTTGCAAATAATTCCACTAAAATAACAAATCTCTGTCCAGCTTCTTGGTGAAATTGTTACCTTTCTACCATAAAAATTAGTCTTTTTCCCACTCTCCAAAGAAGATAGAGCTGGTGTAGAACAGAAACCCCCGAATGAGTTCACCAACAACAGGCACAGATTTACAGCCAAAATCA